ACCCTGTTTGGCAAGAAATATAACAGTAATCAATTTGCCACTAATTAGAACAGAAATAACCCTCTTTAGTGTCCATTGCCTTGCACATTTTCCCAGTTCAAACAAAGGGAATAAAAAGGAAGTGAACTTGGTGGTTTTTGTTTTCTGAAATGACTAAAATAGAAAATCATAACAGCACAATTTTTTTAATGCAGAACAAAGATTCATCTAATTTGACATTCTGCTTCCATCAGCAGGCAGAAGCAATGTGTGCTTCTGGGAGCTCATGGGCAGCGCAGAGTAATTTTTACCTATAATTTGTCCATTGCATCTGATGCTCAGCAATATAGTGCTTCTATATGTTTTATCAACATTCAAAGTGAACCCCGGCTGGATTATCCTTAGACATACAAACTACATCTCTGCAGAGCAAGGATGTGTGAAATACAAACTCTCCCTCTCACCTCTCAGCTTTCCTGACCACTAGAGCTGATGGGAGTTGTAGTCCAACAATATATAAGGGGCATGCTTGCTCATCTTTACTGCAGATGGACTGCTGCCACCCTCTGGAGCCTTCCATTTTTTGTTATTGGTGTTTATTCACCTATCTTCTCTAACCATGCAATGTCAAGAGTGAGAAGACTTGGCAGCATCTTCCACTTTGCTTGTGCTTTTCTTGTGGGTGACTAGACAGATTAAACACAGCCATAGAGGGTAAATGAGCAAGCAGCAGTCACTTAGAATGGTTGAGATGGCTTACTGGAAAGTAATGAATTCTCTCTGTGAGTCTCCCTTTACTCCAGTCATGCCTTACAATAAATGGTACTTCCAACTTCTTAACCATTCTAAAATTAATCATAATATGCCATCAGGTGATTCACTTACGGCAACCTCACAGGGTTTTCTATATTAGTCAGAAGGGTTCTTTACTCACATCAGAGTGTTGCACAATTTAAAATTATGGACATATATGAAATATAGGTAAAATTAAAAATGAATTAAAATAATATAATTAGACTATCTTCGACCAGAAGCAGGCTACTTCAATAGCATTATCTTGGCCATCTGCTTGATCTTCTTTTGTACATGTGATGAGACATAAATTGCATGCACAAAAGTTCTGTGTTGATTGAGTTTTTCCAGTCACAAAAGATTTGTCCTGTATCCAACTAGCCCCATTTACTTGATTATTCTTTGATCTTCCTACTTCACTTCAAAGTCTAAAGTGTCTTCCAGATGGTCCATCTAGAGTCTTGTCCTGATGGGAGGCATTCTTCAGCATTCATCCATTCAGCAAGATGTGTTATTTTTGTTCTCCATAGGTTTATCCTAGCTTCTTCTGGTTTAATATTTTGAGCTTGAGATGTGTGCATTAAACCTTTCTTCAGTTTTAACCACCCCCTAGGGGGTGGTGTCAATGGGTTTGGTGAGGTATTTCATTCATTATTTGCTAGAATCTCTTGACATACTTCTGGAGGGGCAGTGCCAGCCAAATAAACTTTTCAAATGGGGGTAGGTTTCCAGCAATCAATAATATTCCTGCATTATTCATTAAAAGCTACATCCATACAGCACTGATATACAGTGGGGTCTTGACTTAAGAACGGCTCGAGTTAAGAACATTTTGACTTACGAACCACTCTCATAGGAAAATATTGACTTGACTTACATACTTAGATTTGAGTTAAGAACTGAAAAAAAAACCACGTGGGAAGCAGGGAAAGTGTAAAATTTGAACTTTCAGTTAACTGTTGGCCAGTGAAAAGGGTGCCTGTCTGCTTCCTCACTCCTCCCAGCGTTTAGAGAGTGGATTGGGAGACAGTCTTCAGACTGCCTGGTACTGTACTGCCTGGACTGTATTTTCCCTGCCTTCCCTGAACCTTTCTTGACCTAAGAAAAAAAGACACAAGATATCCCCCTCTAGCGGTTGAAGGCAGAATAGCAGCTTCCCATTAGTTTCTATGGATGGAAAAGAGCAGATATGGATCAAATGGTTTTCAATGCATTCCTATGGGAATTGCAGATTTGACCTGAGAACCTTTTGACTTGAGAACCGCCTTCCGATATGGATTAAGTTCTCAAGTCAAGACCCCACTGTATTCTGTAGTAGAACAGCACAGGGACAAAACCGTTCTGCTTATTGTTTGTGGGTGTTCTCCCCAGTCTGACCCAGCCAGTTTCCTAACTACGTTATTTCTTGTGGCAACTTTCTGTTTAGTGTTTAGACAGTGCTTTTTGTAGGTCAACATTCGATCCAGAGTGACGGCTAAATACTTTTGGATAGGACAACGTTCCAAAAGCTTGCCTTCCCAGCTAACTCAGAGATTCCTCTCTGCTCCTCTGTTCTTTAAGTGGAAGGCATAGCCCTGTGTTTTTAAAGGGTCTGATTTCAGATGGTTGTTTTTATAATATAAGGAAATATCTTTTAATACTGAGGTTAGCTGCTGCTTGATGCTTTAAAAGTCTCCCCCTAGATTGTTGAGGCAAGATTGTCTGCATAGATGAAACTCCTAGAGTACCGAAATGTTGGCTGGTCATTTGTGTAAATGTTAAAAAAACAACAGGATGCTACCCTGTGAGAAAATGTTTCTTTGATTTGTCCAGCAACTATATCTCCCTTGAAATTCAACAAAGAATCTTCAGTTTTGAAGTAGAATGGTGACTATTTCTGTTAGTCCATGATCTTTAATATAGAGGCAGAGCTTTTTGAGCAGCAGTTGATGATGGACGGTATCATATGCTGCAGAAGGATCTGCTAGCAGTGTTCTGGACCACACAGTTTGGTTTTTGAGCAGCAGTTGATGATGGAAAGTATCATATGCTGCAGAAGGATTTGCTAGCAGTGTTCTGGACCACACAGTTTGCCCAAGACTGGTCACCTGGCAGGCAAGAGACCCCATCAATTTATTTTATTTATTTATTTATTTTATATCCCGCCTATCTGGTCAGTTACAACCACTCTAGGCGGCTTACATCATACAAATACACAGGGAATATATAAGACAAAAAAAAAGATTTTTTCATAATGAACACATTCAACAAGATGGGAGGCAAACAGTAGGGGGAAATGAGAAAAGGAAAACATCAGGGATTAACTGGAGGGATTAACTGGAGGGATCAACCACCACACCAGTTGTAATCATACCATGCACTAATACTAACAGTGGCTTTACCATAAATTTGAAATAGAATCTGTATGCAGCCAACTTTAATATACTGTGTAAACCTTTGGTCATCCTGTCCAGAAATGGTCACAAGGGCAGGAAGAATTCTCAAAAATGGATATTTTGTCCATTGTAACCCATGTTTCGCTTTTCTCTTCCTCCTCTGGGTGGCTGTTTCAGGAGAGGATGACTAAAATTGTACGTAATGAAAGTACTAAAGGTAGATGTACCATAGATTTATATAGTAGCATTATCATTTTTGCTATTTTAGTTTGCATTTTTTTGCTTAATGTTCATAATACTTGGGTGCTTCAAAACCTGTTGTCTAAACTGCTGACAAACACTTTGAATCTTTGCCTCACTGCTCATTCTAACCTCAGATAAATTAAATAGTGCAGACTTAATACCAATCTTCCTAAGAAGCCTGTTGCCTGCTTTTTGTTGTGTATCTCCAGCTGTTAAAAATGATCCAGTTGTTTTATCTTTTGTTTGCTGCATTTAGTTAGTTACCAGTACACAAAAAGACCTGAGGTCTTAGTCCATGGTTGCTTCCAAGTGTGTATCCTGGACTTCCTTGTCTGTAAATTTATTGACTTCTCAAATGACTGGGAACTTTAACCTGTGTTTGTTTGTTTATCCTTCTAGTTTTATTTCTGTCCTAGCAAACATTCATAGAAATGTGAAAACATAAGTGCTGTGTTAGATCAGACTAAAGTCCTATGTGGAGAAGGTACACATAGGACTTTAGTATGATCTAACAGTGGCAACTGTGGCTGTATACCAGTGGCAACTGGTATACAGCAGCATGATGCTTCTGATCTGTGAGGTAACACAATAGTTATCATAGCTGGTAGGCATTGGCAACTATGAATTTGTCCAATCCTCTTTTAAAGTAATCTGAGAACAGAATCAGAATTCAAATAAATTCCATACTTCAGTTGTGAAGACCAATCACAAAACAAAGCAAGCAAATTTGCAAATTATTCCAGGTAAGAAAACCTCGTTGTGGCACTCATTATTTTTATTATTGCCATCATTTAAGGAATTTCAACTGATGGATTATAATGTCTGCTTCTACCCAAAAGTAGTGGCTGTCACATTTTGTGGTTGCTAATTTCATAACTTCACTATATTATATGTGAAGCAAAAATACAAAAACAAAAAACCCACCCTCTCTTCTTTCCACACTTCCCAGTATTCAACTAGAAGGAGAAATCCTTCTCTCAATATACTTTTTCCACACCATGCATACTTTTGTAAACCTGTTCTACATCCGACCTTGTCTCTAACGAAAAGTAACACCAGTGGAGCAACTTTTTATCATGAGGTCGTTTGCATACTTCTGTAAACCTGTTCTACATCCAACCTTGTCTCTAACGAAAAATAACACCAGTGGAGCAACTTTTTATCATGAGGTCGTTTTAACTCTGTGATCTCCCCCGATATATTTTCATCTCTACAATTTATTTTTTGAGATGCAACAATATACCATATTCTAAGGATTGCTATTACCCCACTCAAGCTCATGTAAAGTGAAGCAAGGAGAAAATCTCATGGAAAAGCAGAGCGAGTTAAGCAGCTAAGTAAAGAATTAGATCCAAGGAATACACTTTTGCTCAAAATTTGAACTCAGTGTTAGACTGCCTTAGGAAAGGGCATATTGCAGTCTAGCCCTTAATCACTATACCCAAGAGACTTGTGGATCATGGCATCATGTACAATAAAGAATGCATCTAAACTGTGCTTCCTTCTTCAACACAACAGCTGTGCAGTGGCGGCTACCTCTTGTGATTTGTGATATTGAAGTGTTTTCTCCAGGGCTCTTACTAAGCCACTGCACATATCAATTTCTTGCAGGTATGCGTTGTGACAGTGTGTGTCCTGAAGGGCACTGGGGTCCAAACTGTTCACTGTCCTGCTACTGCAAAAATGGAGCGTCATGTTCTCCAGATGAAGGAATCTGTGAATGTGCACCGGGCTACAGAGGCACTACTTGCCAAAGAAGTAAGTATTAAAAGTCTCCTGTCCCTTTCTTTAATATAATACAGTGGACCCTCTACTTAAGGAATTAATCCGTATTGGAATGGTGGCTGCAAGTCGAAAAGTCTGTAAGTCAAGCCGTCTGTAAGTCGAGGGTTCACTGTAATAATTACATGCCATCAAGTTGATTACATCATATAGTGAGCCTTTCTGGGATTTTCTAGGGATACTGAGAAGTAGTTTACTATTCCCTTTTTTGTGGGGGGGGGCACTCTCTACAGTTTGTCCAAGGGTACACAGGGTGGCTGTCCTCCTGAGAAGCACAATGGAGAATCAAACACACAATCTCTGGTTCCAATACCTTGCTGACTGAGCTATCCATTCTTTCTTCTGGTGTTACTGTAGTTCTGATTGGCAGCACTGAAAAGCACTCAGATAGTGACTTCAATTTTTTTCCCTTTAATTTTTGCAATATGTATTTTTCATGTGCTTAAAAAATTAAGCAGAGTGTTCTCTTTCTTTTTGCTATTGTTTATTTTGCAAATTTGATATACATGATATATGTGTTACCTGTAAGATGCATTTCTTTTATTATTGCCACCATAAAATACCCCACAAGACTAAAGTCTTGTTTTGTTAGCAAATGCATATACTTGTAGAAGATATCACCAGGTATCTCAGTCAAGCAGGACAAGATAAACAAATTAGGACTAGAGGTGGGCACAGACGTCTGGTTCGGCAGTTTGTGCTGGTTCAGATGACAGCTGAACAGGTGTTTCATGGTTTGGGGTCCCGTCCCATCCGGCAGGCACCCCCTTGGAAGCTGTGCCCTGGCTGACCTGCCCTGCCTCTCAGTGGGTGCTTGCCAGAGGGGACAGGGCATCAAACCACAGAACACCTGTTCAGTCTTTGTCTAAACCAGCACAATGGCTGAACCGATGGTTCATGCCCATCTCTGTTTAGGATTTATTCAAACATTATTACAACACACACCGGAAAGCTGCTGAAAATAAAAATGTTGCTGTTTGATAACAGCACCATGATTGAACTGCAACAGTTCTAAACTGTTTACCAAAGGGATCATCCATAGTTCTAGGTAGAAGTACTGTATTCTCCTTAGCTTTGTAGCTGCTAGAGCTGGCTTGCAGACTTTCTAAAAATTTGGTTATCCTTGTGGAAGTGGTTTCTGGCATTCTTCATGTAAAGCCACAATGTTTGGCTTGATTTTTAATTGCAAGCCCAACTGGAAACAAAATTTATGAAAAATAATACTAAATAAGAATTTACCTAGATTATCTAAACAGGATTCTCCTAATCTTTGCCCTTTCAGGTTTATACTTCATTTTTATACTTATTAAAAGTCAGCCCAAACTGCAAACTCAAGAAGTGTGGCAGGACAACTGAAAATATCCAAACAGCAACATGATTATATGTTCAAAAGGAAACCAAATAATAGGGGAAGACAGGAGGGCAAGGGAATCAAAATATTACAACAAATATGAGAATGAGGAGCTGATGCTCAACTGAGTTTAACTTGAGACCTTACTTGAAGGCAAAAAGGGCAGATACTTTGATCATGTTCCCACTCTGCACACAGAGGGTTCATTATCAATATGAACTTTTGTGTGTTTTTTCCATATCAATGGTTATATGGCTGTCCGAGAGCAGTTATCTGTGCAATAAGCATCTCAGAAATTACACAAAACAAGATGTGGTATGAAACCTGCTTTCCTCTCTGCTTCTGGCAAAGCAGAAAGCCCTCAATGATCTCTTTCCTCCATCATGCTACTCTCTTCTCTGATTACCTGTCGGCTCTCCACTTCAGTTTATGCTTCTGTTCCCTTAAAGTATGCATATAATATTCTTACAATTCTGGCATAGTTTTTAGGGTTTAAAGCTGCTTGATGTGGTAAAACCATATGGTGCCTCCTATCTTTGTTTCACTCTCTATTTTCTGGTTTATATTCTTACAACCTGACTAAAGAGAAGATTTCTGGTGTTTAATTATTACCTTTAATCTACTATGTTTGTATACAACTTCAGGGATTTCTGAGTGGCATCCAGCCTCTCTGCATTCAAAAATGGAGATTGGTTACTGTGAGGGTTCAATAGTTACCTCAGGCTTATCGGACAGAAACATTGGATGCTCGTTTTTTTGAGAAACAGAACTAGGATTTATTGGAACATCAAATAAAGAAGTGTCAACATT